TTCAACTATATGTCAGAAAGAATTGGCTAGCCTGGTCGAGAAGACGAGAAGTAAGTGAAGGGTTTTATTATCAGAAATCTTGAACACAAAAGTCTTGAAATTTGAAAAAAAAAGTTTTCAAGGTCACTAATTCAACTCTATTTGGGAGAGGTAATTTATGCCTTAAAGATGATATTATCTACAATAGTCTCCGATACCGAAAATATTATAGATTAAAGATTCGGAACTCCAATGGTAAAAAAAAAAAAAAACCCTAACTGGTACTAGTTTAACTAAGGAATGCTGAGAAATGTAGCTGAACTCTTTAGTTTGTGTGTCAGTAGTTGTTGAATGTTGGAGGAAATTCCTCAGATTCTTTTTTTTTTGTTTTTCAAATGAAAAAATATAATCGAATGTTGACATATAAATGTCTCTTAAACAATAGTACATTTCAATTTTTTTTTAATGTGTGTTGCTAATTTTGTTTTGACAACTGTATCATTAGTTGGATAGAAAAATACTTGACAACCATAACAATTAATCAGATTAAAAGAGAGAATAAGAGGAGGAGCCACTGACCAAGTCCGAGAAACACACAAACTGAAAACTAAAGCAAAGAATTCAGAGCACTATTTTTTTTAAGGGCCACTTATATTTTTCTATAATAATGATTCTATTTGTATGCCATTAGATTTGTTTTTTCTTTTTCAAAAACAAATTACTTATTTTTTTCTAATTCAGTTTGATACAATGTCTAAAGCTAATGATAAATTTAGATTTTTCAATAACAGATATAGAATGTACCACAATTTTCATTTTCATTAGATCGACGTGAAAAACGAGTAATAATGAATTAAAAACTCACCAAAATACCATTGCTAAAACGGAGGAGAACGGTGAAAGTGATGGAGTAAGCGGCCAACTCGATCGGGCCAAGATGGCCGATGAAAGCTTGACTTATCAAAGACACTCCGAACGTAGAGAATCTCGTGAATATCGCTGGAGCCGCCACAATCCATAGCTTCTTAGATTCAATCCAAACCTTCTCCTTCATCCCCAACTCATCCTCTTCTCCGCCGTTCTCCGCCGTCTTTTTCAGCAGAGCCGCCGTGAGCTCTCCTCCTCCTCCGGCCATCGTGGAGTCTCTGTTCTATCTGATCGACCAGAAGGCGGGCGGCGAGAGAGAGGAGGTAGTTTGTTTGTGGGATTGGTTTATTAGTTAACTTATATATATTTATTGGGAATTGAAAAGTTGCTTACGGCTCTTGCAGAAAGTCGAAGTTAGTGGATACTAAAAAACTAGGAGAAACATGAGACCGTCAATTTGTCTAACTAAATTTTCTGCCACAATTTTCAATAAGTGTAATGGTAAAATCGTAATTTTAGTGACGCATTTTCCGTAATTTAAACAAATAACATGATATAATGCAAAACAATCAGATAAAATTGAGTGATAGAGTTGGGTAACATTTTTTTTTTTTTGGTCTAAGAGTTGGTAACATTAAATGCAGATTCTGGGTCTAAGTGGTGTAAAAGAATCAGTTGAATTTGTCTAAATAAGTATGTCACGTTTTTTGAAACTAAAAAAATAGTGACATATTTATCTCTTCTTTAAATAAACAAAAATTCATAACCTTGTAATTTCCTTCACCCACGTTTGAGCATTGCCCATCTTGTCCTACTAACTAATTCCACTTTTTCCTTTTTGTCTACACTTGCATCCAAAAGAGCATCATGATT